ATTGATTAGATGAAGGATTGACTTGATGAAGGATTGATTAGATGAAGGATTGATTAGATGAAGGATTGACTTGATGAAGGATTGATTAGATGAAGGATTGACTTGATGAAGGATTGATTAGATGAAGGATTGATTAGATGAAGGATTGACTTGATGAAGGATTGATTAGATGAAGGATTGATTAGATGAAGGATTGATTAAATGAAGGATTGACTTGATGAAGGATTGATTAGATGAAGGATTGACTTGATGAAGGATTGATTAGATGAAGGATTGATTAGATGAAGGATTGATTAGATGAAGGATTGATTAGATGAAGGATTGATTAGATGAAGGATTGACTTGATGAAGGATTGATTAGATGAAGGATTGATTAGATGAAGGATTGAGTTGATGAAGGATTGATTAGATGAAGGATTGATTAGATGAAGGATTGACTTGATGAAGGATTGATTAGATGAAGGATTGACTTGATGAAGGATTGATTAGATGAAGGATTGACTTGATGAAGGATTGATTAGATGAAGGATTGACTAGATGAAGGATTGATTAGATGAAGGATTGACTGGATGAAGGATTGATTAGATGAAGGATTGATTAGATGAAGGATTGACTTGATGAAGGATTGATTAGATGAAGGATTGATTAGATGAAGGATTGATTAGATGAAGGATTGATTAGATGAAGGATTGATTAGATGAAGGGTTGATTAGATGAAGGATTGATTAGATAAAGGATTGATTAGATGAAGGATTGATTAGATGAAGGATTGACTTGATGAAGGATTGACTTGATGAAGGATTGATTAGATGAAGGATTGACTGGCTGATGAAAAAAGGGTGAATGATGATCTTCACAGCACTCCGGACACATCTTCTCAGATTCCCCTGTCAACAGATTCATCAGCGTCGCGCGGTTAATAGCGCCAGCCCAATGCTGATTGACAAGACTTCGTGTGCGTTCGATGTGCTTCTCGTGCTTTTGTCGATATCATATATATATATATATATATATATATATATATATATATATATATATATATATATATATGAAATAGGCGCTGGACGACTGTTACATAAATTGAATTAGGCCTATTTAAGCGACCTAAAAACCTGGCCAACTTGGGGGTCAGGAAGTGATAAAACAGACTGGAGTGACCATTTTCGCTCTCTTAGGCTCCCTGGTTTTAGGACGAGAAACATGTAGTTTTGATTTGTCCGTTGCGTTCAATGATTCTACGCAACGTGGGTTGAGATGAGTAGAGAGAAAGATAGGTTCCATCTATTGTAGGGTATTTTCGAGCACGTTGTGAATTTTAATGCATTATTATTTGTGAAGACCTTAGATGATGTTCAGTGAAATAAATAGATGTGAATGTGATAATGATAGTCCCAGCTTTTTGATTCGGATTAGTACTTGTGGCTAGTGTGCTTAGTTTGTTTATTTGTTACCTGGCTTATTAGACTTTACACAGAAGATCTTGTGTCTGGACTAGAAAATCCCTGTTTCTAGTCCCCACCTAAACGAACTATTTTCCTTTTTTTAATCTTGGTACTTAGGGCTTCTCCACCCTAGTACAAATGGCGTTGTCGGCAGGATTGGTGGCCACAAAATACTTTGTGTCTTGTCTAGTTAGTTCTGGTAATTCTAGCGATTTATAGTTTTAGATTGGTTTTTAATGGCGCCCACATGTATGGCTCCTTTATCGCAGATTTTGGGTATGGTATTTGTCGCTTTTTTAGTTCTCCGACAGTTGTCAAATTAGTGTACTTGTTTTCAATTATTAGTAGAGAAGGTGGCTAGTAGTTTTCCTCGAGTAGGTGTGAATCTTAGATTTAGAAATAGCTAGCCGACCCAGTGGGGCAGATTCAGTTGAAACTCCTAAGCAAGATGGAGGAGAGTACTCGTGCGAGCAGTAACGTGCACCATGAAGGTAGTTCTCCGACCTCGGTGGTGGAAGGGTCCTGTTTGCCAGACAGACCAGGGTACAGGCATGTTATTATGTTGCCAGCAGAGCGCGTAAACATAACGCACTTTGATGGGACAGGAGGCCCCACTGTTACAGATGATTTTGTTCGACAAGTGAGAGCCTTGTTTAGAAAATGAACGAACGTGTCCGGCAGACCAGATTGATGTAGTGCTCGATCACGTCACAGCGAGTGTCAGACAAGAGTTAAAGTTACATCAGACAGAGAATGCCAACGATTTGCTAGATATCATACAACACGTGTATGGAGAGCATCGAAGCGTTGTTGAACTAGCGTCAGAGTTTTTTTCCCTACGGCACGGTGAGAATGAGACGATCCGTTGTTTTTCTCATCGTATGCATGCAGCATTTGAGGCGATAATTACCGCACAGAAGAAAGAGAACATGACGCTATTTGATACGTCGATCTTGAGAGATCAGTTTATCTTACAATTGCGAGATACGATTTGTAGAAAATTAGCTCAAGAGAAAGTTTACCAAGACCCAAGTGTGACTTTTCTATCTATCAGAGATTTTGCCATTAGATGGGTTCGTGATGATTTGTTCTTTAAGAAAGTGGTGTTTAAATAATGAGTCAGCGGTGCAGGTGAATGCTGTGAATTCTTCAGTGTCGTCGAACGTGAAGGGTGAGTTGGACTTTTTAAACATCTGAGATTAAGCACCTGAAAGAACATTTAGCTATGTTATCACAACAGCAGAAACGGCGTAAGCTATGTTTTATTTGTCAGTCGTCATCCCATTTAATGAATGCCTGTCAAAGAAGAAAACCAGTCGGCGAAGTTCGGCACCCTATTCATGTGCAGAGGCAAGAAGCGGCTAACTATAGTCAGAACAGAACTCGCAAAGTGTGGCGTAGGAGCCCACATGGCCCGCTCGAGTCGTGCCCCCTGCAGATTTAAACGAACTCTCTTGTGTAGTTTCTCGTGAGAGGTTCGGTGATAAACAGGACTGCAATCAGAGTTACGCGCCCTCAAAACACACGAGGGGGGAGACGGAGGAAGAAAAGTTCGCAAGCTCCTAGTGACGACTCGCCTGATCAAACACAGAACAACGAGAATTCAGTTCCGGTCAATCAGTTGTGCACTGAGTTATCTAGCAATGAGCAGTCTACTTTAAAGACCGTTGAAACTGTCAGATACCAGGTCGGGGATAAAAGTCAATTTAAAACTCGAACAGGAAGAAGGTGATACCAATGAAGCGTGGTCAGACGAAATTTATGTCATTCTTCGCGCTCCTACTGAGTCGCGACCCACAGTATGTGTTGACTAGCAGACAGCAAAATAAACTGCGACTCTTAGTAGACGAGGAGGAGTTAAGGAAATGTGTTGTGAACTGTTGACCTAATTAGTTGTGTGCAGAAAGATCAGCTGGTCAAGGTGTGCCTATTGTTCGCGGTGTGGTTTGTGTGATGCTAGGAGTGGTTTCTTTCTATTGCGACCTAAGCTTGGGGTCAGATTATTTGTTTTATGTCTCCGTGACCGGTTTAACTGTAGGTCTTTTTCATAAAGGGAGTCACGTGTGAATTACACTGACCGACTGAGTATGCAGTGAAGTTTTTAATAACATTGCAGTGACCCATCAGTCCATTGTAAGCTCACGCAGAGCCGAGGTATGTCCGATCAGTCCATTGTAAGCTCACGCAGAGCTGAGGTATGTCCGATCAGTCCATTGTAAGCTCATGCAGAGCTGAGGTATGTCCGATCAGTCCATTGTAAGCTCACGCAGAGCTGAGGTATGTCCGATCAGTCCATTGTAAGCTCACGCAGAGCTGAGGTATGTCCGATCAGTCCATTGTAAGCTCACGCAGAGCTGAGGTATGTCCGATCAGTCCATTGTAAGCTCACGCAGAGCTGAGGTATGTCCGATCAGGCTTTTTCAAAGCTGAGGTAAAATTTTGGCTTTAAGCGTCACGCGGTGGTGACCAGGACAAACTTCTTTGTGTCACGCGGTGGTGGCAAAGGCAAACTTCTTTGTGTCACGCGGTGGTGACAAGGACAAACTTGTGTCACGCGGTGGTGACAAGGGCAAACTTCTTTGTGTCACGCGGTGGTGGCAAAGTGTGGTGGAAACAGTCCAATGTAAGCCCCGCGGCTGAGGTAATAAAAACAGCTGAAAGAACCCGTCTACCAAGAATTGCTGGATGTCAGCGAGAGCAGCTACTCAAGAATCCTGATGTTTACTGATCACGATGTATTCGATTATTTTTGCATTTTTGTGTTTTTTTATATTGCAGATTTGCTTGTTGTGTGTTATTGACGATTGTGTACATGTTAAAGATGCTGCAAGTAGCTAGAGATTATGTTATGTCATGAAAATAATTGTGTTTCTGTGGTCAATGCACAGTAAATGAAGAACAGGAGTTAAGGAAGACATTGGTAAACAATTATTGTAAGGTATTGTGTAGTTGTCGGGACGCCAACAGATTTGATGAGGAGACCTGAAATAGGCGCTGGACGACTGTTACATAAATTGAATTAGGCCTATTTAAGCGACCTAAAAACCTGGCCAACTTGGGGGGTCAGGAAGTGATAAAACAGGACTGGAGTGACCATTTTCGCTCTCTTAGGCTCCCTGGTTTTAGGACGAGAAACATGTAGTTTTTGATTTGTCCGTTGCGTTCAATGATTCTACGCAACGTGGGTTGAGATGAGTAGAGAAAGATAGGGTTCCATCTATTGTAGGGTATTTTCGAGCAGATGTGAATGTGATAATGATAGTCCCAGCTTTTTGATTCGGATTAGTACTTGTGGCTAGTGTGCGTAGTTTGTTTATTTGTTACCTGGCTTATTAGACTTTACACAGAAGATCTTGTGTCTGGACTAGAAAATCCCTGTTTCTAGTCCCCACCTAAACGAACTATTTTCCTTTTTTTTTATCTTGGTACTCAGGGCTTCTCCACCCTAGTACATATATATATATATATTTACATACACACACATATATATATATATACATATGTGTGTGTGTGTGTATGTGTGTAGTGTGTGTGTGTATGTGTGGAAACACAACTTGCCTGTGCAGTATTCCGCTGTCAGCTGCCCGGATGACTGTGCTCACTGCTGTGACGATCTTTTCATAGAGATCAATATCCTCCAAACCCCAGCCCTTGATGTCCGTCCGCAAACTGCCGGCTCTAAAATTGAAGAACCGCGTCATGGTAAACTTAGTAACCATGGAAATGAAATGCCCGAGAAGGAAGCAATGAATCGTTTCAGACAATGTATATACACCCCTACTCTATGCTATCAGTGCCAGGCATGGTCATTCACAACAAACCAGAAAAGAAAATTAATAACCAAAGAAATGGGTTCTTTATTAATATCTTACCCCAGTTGACGTCACAGGACAGTCCAATATTTTAGAGGGTGGTAAGACTGGGTTTCCCGGCTTTCTGATGCTTTTAACGACACCAGAACATCTAGAACTGGCCCTAACCCGAACCCACCTACGTCCCACGAGAGAGTGCAGCCTAGGTCCCACGACTGCATGAAGCTTATCTACCACACCTTGAAACATTACACTGTCCCGTGACCTGTGAATTTCTCCTGTTTGGGGTAGGATATTATTAATGCACCTTGAAATGAAATGTCTGAGAAAGGCCGCAGAAATGAAGTTACAAGTCAAAGTGACTGACTGACTGACTGATTGACTGACTGACTTTCCACCCCACCAGGACATCACACAAGCGATAAACACCCGATGACACAAAGTGCCACCATGTGATTGAGGATCACAGTGGAGAGATCCCAGAAACCGCGTTCAGCCATCAGCCATATTTATGGCCTGGTTATATTACGGCCTCCAGCAAGAGCCAGGGTGGAGCTTCAAAAAATGAAAAATTTCATCCTAACAAAGATGGTGAATCATAAAAAAATGGCCGCTGAGCGAGTTCTAAATTACATACAAGGTCAGCAAATAAAATGGTTTGTCAATTTTGCATCTAGAACATTCAACATTTTTTATGATAATGTATATAATGATGAAAATGCTATGTATAAATATATAAAGATGGTAGTCCTAAAGCTGTTGAAGATGAAGACTGTAATAATTGTGAGCCGATAAACAACTGAAAAAAAAAAAAAAACACACACAATAACAACCAACCATGGAAAGGTCAAAAAGAGAAACAAGATGAGGGGAGGCTCATCTAGTAGAAGAAGTATGACACGGTGTGGAGGTTGCCGAAAGGAGTCCGGATCTTTGACGTTCCTCCTTACACACAGGAAAACCTTCAGCATTCGCACCTGGAATGTCAGAGCTTTGTTCAGTGTAGGTAGAACAATGGAATTATGAAAGGAAAGCAATGAAACCCACAGGGGCATGGAAATAAAGTGGGAAACACTCGGAGAAGTGAGCTCGAGAGTGAAGTTAAAAAGATGAGGAGGACATGGGGAGAGTTGCATGCGATAGCGAAGGATTGAACGACTTAGCGTGAGTTGATTGAGGGCCTATGCTCCATTGGGAGTTAGAAAGGCAGAAGAAGAAAGAAGAAGTATATGAAGATACACACACCCAGACCCACACACCGATACAAATACATGCACACACCCACATCCGCGCCTCTGCACCACACAAACACTTACCGAAGCAGATCTTGTTTAACAACAGACACGACGCCATAACCAAAGCTGCGCCAGATCCCTACATCTTCATGAAAGCTTCTCATGAATTCTTCACAGTTGTCTCTCTTGTAGCAGGTCACTTCCGGGCTGGTGGAGGCAAACAGTGCATTTTATGCTTCACGTTAATTATTTATTTTTGTCAACAAACAAACACGTTAAAGGTAATGTTTCGCTCTCCAGATCCCGCCTATATACACACAAGCTCATTTTTGATCGGTAGATCTTGAGCCACGTGAATTGCCACAAGGTCACGGGGTGTTCCTCAATGCCGTTGATATCGCGTGTTGTATATTAGCATGCATCAACATCATGGCACAAGGGTAGTAACCCATAAGTTCTCCGTTCTTTTTCCAACTCAAGTCTGAATCCTAAGAAGCTCGGCACAGAGCACAGGCTCTGTAGCACCAGCGAAATTTTGCGCGGGCTGCGCCGTAAGGCTACTCTTTTCAATTTCCAACTGCCAAGGGAATTTTTTTTTTTTACCTGGGCACCAATGCACACGGGCGTCCGATCTCACTACCTCAGATACCAGGGGGAATTACTAGAAGTCCAAGTTCACATGAAAAAATCCCAGCCCTTACGGGGAATTAAACCTAAAGCACTGGAGGCGGACACCATGCCTCAAGTCCACGCAGCACCACACCACCCCTCCCCCCTCTCATCCTGATCGAGGACATAAATAGATAAATGTCTCATCTAAAGTTATGCAGGACAATGAGTAAATGTATGAATGAATTAAGAATCGACATCACAATGATCAGGACATTCCTATACGTGCTCCGTCCCCTTCTTCAGCAGCCAACGAAGAGAAGAGTCCACACGAAAATAGTAACAGCTGAATTCTGTTTGAAAGTCCACTTAGGTGACCCCCGCAGTGTTTTCCATCTTCAAGAACCTCTACTCATAACTGTAAGGATCGTCTATGTATTCTTGCACTTTCCATTTGGGCAACGTTTGCCGCTTAGGCATTGCGAACGTGCTTCGTAATGCCGGGTTGCCGGGTTCTATCCCAGCTGCGCGCCTTGCGTTGGTTTGACAGTGATATCGAGAAGCTGACCGTAAAACCACAACAGCATTTGACCACAGAGAGCTTATACCTCACCCACTTTATCATAAAGTTGTTTATCGCCCAGAGGATCGGCAGCAGCTAATCTTTCAACCTCATTAGATTTAGAACAGGAAGAGTTTATGATGCTTACCTAAACTGACTGAAAACAATAGGGTAATAAACTGATCGGCCCATGACAGTGTTCCTTGATACTCTGTACAGAAAGTCGGAGGTGTATTCCATGTCTACGTCCATTAGCAATAGTAAAGAGTTGTTGGCCAGGTTCTCCATGGCGAGTACCAGTCCTAGAGTAGACCAGGTACTTGTAGGTTCATAGTACAATTAGTAGGTTCATAGTACAATTGGTTGGGTCACAGTACTGCTAGTAGGTTCATAGTACAGTTAGATGGGTCATAGTATAGTTGCTAGGTTCTTAGTAAAGTTAGTAGATTCATAGTATAATTAATAGGGTCATAGTACAGCAAGTAGGTTCATAATACACTTAAATGGATCATAGTGTAGGTGATAGGTTCATAGAAAAGTCAGTAGGTTCATAGTAGCATGTTCATAGTACAATAAACAGGTTCATAGTAGTAGGTTCATAGTACAATTAGTAGGTTCATAGTAAAGTTAATAGGCTTATAGTACATCTAGTCTGGTCTGGTAGTCTTAGCTTTAGCTTCATAGCAAACGGGTCACCCCATCTTTTCTCCGCTCCTGTGCCAACGAAAATACACAGAATGTTTATCACAGTCTAGTACATCTAATAGCTTCATAGTACAGTTAGTAGGTTCATGTTAGTAGGTTCATAGTATAGTTAGTAGGTTCATAGTAAAGTTAATAGGTTCATAGTACAGCTATTAGGTTTAGAGTAAAGCTAGTAGATTCATAGATCATCTGTTTTTACACTTGTAGGTTGAAAAGTAGGTAAGTACGTAGGTAGGTAGGTAACTAGGTACTTGAATAGGTAGATATTCAAGTAGTAGATGCATACATACATACATACATACATACATACATACATACATACATACATACATACATACATACATACATACATACATACATACATACATACATACATACATACATACATACATACAGACAGACAGACAGACAGACAGACAGACAGACAGACAGACAGACAGACAGACAGACAGACAGACAGACAGACAGACAGACAGACAGACAGACAGACAGACAGACAGACAGACAGACAGACAGACAGACAGACCTACCTACCTACCTACCTACCTACTTGCCTACCTGCCTGCCTGCCTGCACACACACACACGCCCACCCACACACACAGACAGACAGACAGACAGACAGACAGACAGACATGCATACATACATACCAACATACCAACATACCTACCTGCCTACCTAGCTACCTACCTACCTAGCTACCTGCCTGCCTGCCTGCACACACACACACGCCCACCCACACAGACAGACAGACAGACAGACAGACAGACAGACAGACAGATAGACAGACAGACAGACAGACAGACAGACACACAGACAGACAGACAGACAGACAGACAGACAGACACACAGACAGACAGACACACACACAGACACACAGACACACAGACAGACAGACAGACAGACAGACAGACAGACAGACAGACAGACAGACAGACAGACAGACAGACAGACAGACAGACAGACAGACAGACAGACAGACAGACAGACAGACAGACAGACAGACAGACAGACAGACAGACAGACAGACATACATACCAACATACCTACCTACCTACCTACCTACCTACCTACCTACCTACCTACCTACCTACCTACCTACCTGCCTACCTGCCTACCTGCCTACCTAGCTACCTGCCTACCTAGCTACCTGCCTGCCTGCCTGCACACACACACACACGCCCACCCACACAGACAGACAGACAGACAGACAGACAGACAGACAGACAGACAGACAGACAGACAGACAGACAGACAGACAGACAGACAGACAGACAGACAGACAGACAGACAGACAGACAGACAGACAGACAGACAGACAGACAGACAGACAGACAGACAGACAGACAGACAGACAGACAGACAGACAGACAGACACACACACAGACAGACACACAGACAGACACACAGACAGACACACAGACAGACAGACAGACAGACAGACAGACAGACAGACAGATAGATGCATACCCCTGGCTCGCCCAAACGTTTCGTTAACTATCATCATGTGAACGTCTAGGTCAGGGCTGCCTTGCAACAATGCAGAAGTGGCGGCAGAAACATTTCTGTGTTCTCCTCCTTCATCTCTGAAGAGCACCACTCGCAGCTGTACCTTGCCCTTGTAGCCTGGAACAGAAAACAGCTGCAACGTCAATTCAGGCACTGGGACGCCAAGATAAAACAAACATCAGCTTGCCGGTAGACGACTTTGTAGCGGGTCGGGACAGTATTTAGGTCTGTCTCCTTTGATCGAAGCAGCACTGCAGGAGACCTTTTCATGGCTGGTTGGTGGAGAGCAAGGCTAAACCATTTTATATGTTACACATAAGCGTGTCACAATTATAACTTAAAGCTCCCCATCGGGAATGTTGGTTGAACATGACGATTTTTGTTGTTGTTGAGCAAAGCAACAAAAGATCAAACATGCCTTCAGCCTTTAACAATGTTCGGGAATTTCAAGTGTTCTAAGCCTTGTTTAAGTGATTAATAATATTAAAATTATTAAATAATAATGTTTGGAATGACAAATGGGGAGCCGCCATTGTGAAGCGGCTAGGCGCTCGTCTGCGGATTGGAAGGTCGTGGGTTCAGTTACTGACCGTACAAGAATTATTTCTTTTTCAAAAACGATCTTGGCTCCCAGGTCGACCCAGCCTTGAATGGGTACTAGGTGGAGTTATCGGAAGTAAAGGTGGCAGGCGTGCTGCTGACCATATCACTCACCTAGTACCAGCTGGTCTGTTATATATAGGTTTAGCCCTATATGCCCAAAACGCCTGAAGACGTAGAAAAGAGTCGTTTACTGCCGTAAGCATTCAGGTAATCATACCATTTCTTGGGTAGGCGGCGAATGTCATCCGCAAAAAAAAAAAAAAAAGGATTGGGGTTGCTCACTGAACCAAGTGTTTACAGTATGAACATCCGTGATACCCATTGTGAACACACCTTCGATATTATAGTTTATGATAAACAACCTTATCACCTATCCTAGTTAACACATCGATTTCTTTAAGTTGAGAACGTATGCTTCGATAGCGGTTGATCTTCATTGCTGCTTCAATGATGAAGACAGTTTATTTTTCTGTTGCAGCAATATAAGTTCCACCCGGAGTATGGAAGATCTGTCAAGAGCTCTTGTGCTTTTCAAAACATTCGCACCAAGTCTGTCACTGTTGTTCTCGACATACATTTGTTATCATGCACTGCCTGCCTTTTTCAATGAACATCCCCTCGACAACATCCTTTACATGGAAGGAACTGTGTCAGGGCAATTTGACCATCTTTGGGCGGAGCTGGGTTGAGTTACAAATTGACATCACAGCACTCAAGGCATTCCCGTATGCGCTCCGTCCCTTTCCTTAGCAGCCAGCGCAGAGTTTCAGTACTAATGGTGCCAGTCGTAGTCAGGTTATATGTCCGTCTTTCCTTTCCTCTGAGCGTAGCGTGCCGGCCAGACCCTCTGGTCACACCCAGGTGTCTCATTCTCTCCAGCTCATAATAATAAAGTTTGTCTTCTGACTTCGTTATTTGTTTCAAAAGGGCTCTGACCACATCTGCCTTGGTCACTTCATATCGGCCCCTGCCCCTCCTTGCTGGCACCAGGCCTTCTCGCATTTTTGTTTTTCCTAATCCGCCGAGGCGTTTGATTTGCCCAAAATATTTCAGCTTTCGAGGCAAGATGCTGTTTATTAGCCAATCTTCCTTATGTTCAGATGTTTCAGAAGGTCAGTATTTCTTTTCTTCTTTGTCCATGTTATTCCAACCCCCCCCCCCCCCCCCCACCCCCCCCACACACACACACCCACACAATTTTCTTCATTAAGGACTCAAACAGCTAGGTACATTTTGGTGTGCAATGAATTCTAAGAATTCTTCTGTAAAACCACATTTCCGAGACTTGGAGACATTGTCTGGACACAGGGACTCCAACTACCGGACAAATATCTACTGAACGTAATAAGAGAACCTACCATCTACCGCCTTCTTGTGGTTCCGTACATAACGTATATAGCACGAGGATTTTTGGAACACCGTCAAAAGAATGTATATAATGTTCGTGTCATTCTGTGTCCCTCTTTCTTCTCCCGATTCTCTGAAATAAGTGTATCAGTAGTCTACATCTCTAAATAAAACAAACAAATTATTTCACAATCATTCATTCATTCATTCATTCATTCATTTATTCATTCATTCATTTATTGATTGATTGATTGATTGATTGATTGATTGATTGATTGATTGACTGATTGATTGGTTGATTCATTCATTTTTTTATTCCCTAATTCCTATTGGGCCATTACATGGCACAGAGGGCTCACAGTTTATTTATCCTGGCGGCCAGTCTGAGGAGCGACGTTGAGTATGCATTAAAACTCTTCGAGGTAGGCGAAAGAGGGCTAATCTCCACCTCCACATACAATGTACTAAAGCAGCTGGGCTTGCGAGGAAAGGATCGTAAATGGACTCGAAAACAACAGGGTGAAGCGGCTGATGGGGCTTCGAACTGGCTGTGGAGGCAACAGAACGTCGTGGGGGATAGAACTCGGTAGACTGGTCCGAGCTCTTACTGGAAAAGAACTTTAAAATCCCTAAACACAAAGCTGTGCGATTAGTCTTCTCATGTCACTCTGCTACAGGCCAAAGTATGTTCGACCAACGTCTTTCCGATGAACCAGCCGTCAATTTGTCACTCTGGTCGTAAATGTAGTCGCGCAATTTTCTACTGCGGCGACGATATACATAACACGATAAACTCAATACCTTTTGCAAAGCCCCCATAATATCTTGTCCAATTTCCAAAAGGCGCAGGTTATGTCTGAGGTCTGGCGTCATGACCCAGGCTGGCCCGCCGTCTGTCAAAGAGGATAATAGACCCAAACAATTGTCGCGAGGTAAACACACCCCTCCCCCCCCCCAACCCCCAACCGTTGTTCGGTAGACTCCTGCTGTGCTTGCTTCCGCTGTGGATTTGTTCTCATTATATCCATTCCGTTCTAAGCAATGCAATCACTTTGATATCATGCATGGAATCCAGTCCAGCAGCTTTAGCCTCTCCCATCAACTTTCACCTTAGGGTTTCTCGTGAACGTCTTCGTCTCCACAGTCCCTTTAGCTCCCATTTCAGTGCCTGTTTGGCGATTCTCTGTTCGTGTCTTCTCAGAATTTGAACAATATAGAGCCATCTTCTCAGTCTTATAACTGTTGATTCTACAGGTTCTCTGTAGCAAAGTCGTCCGGTCATTTGTCTGGTCGTTCAGTTCACGAATTAGTTTTGATAGTAATAATATTAGACTGGCCGGTTCTGCACCACTTGATGGTGAACTGATGTATGTCAAGCTAGATGTTGTGAGGGCCCTTTGGGGGCGAGTGAAAGTGCGGAGGCGCAGATAGATCATTACGGTCGGAGGAGAATGACGCTGCGAGGAGTTACCAGGGGATCTGGCTGACGCTAAACACTCAGGAGAAGGATGAGATGGATATGCAATGAGACGGTTACCGGTGCCATAAGAACTGGAACTCTTCGCTTCCTGCTGAAGATGGGGAAAGTGCATTTATGGGAGTGTCCCAAGTGATGTGATGTCGATTCTTAATTCAACATTACAAAGGGACACAAATTAGGCACGCAGACCCGTCTTACATTAAACACGCATCGTTCACATGACAATTGTATTTTATGTACCAAGCATATTATGTTTAATTATCAAAATGATGTAAAGTAAAAATGCGAAAACAGGGATGGCTAATGCATACCTGTGTATATATGTGTGTGTATGTTTATATAAGTGTGTATGTACATGTGTGTATGAGATCATCACTGGAGCTAGGGAGTTCCTGTCCTTTGTGACGCTCTCGGCTGTGTCATCATCCATAATCATTATCATCATCATCGTCTATCAACATTATCATCATCATCGTCTATCAACATTATCATCATCATCGTCTATCAACATTATCATCATCATCGTCTATCAACATTATCATCATCATCGTCTATCAACATTATCATCATCATTAGCATCATCATGATCATCATAATAATCATCACCATCATCATCTTCATCATCTATCATCATCATTTATCATTATTATAATTATCATCATCATTATCATCACCAGTATCATCATCATCATGATGATCATCATTATTATCATCACCATTATCATCATTATCATCATTATTATCATTATTATCATCATCATCATTATCATTATTATCATCATCGTCGTCTATCATCCTTATCATCATTATCATTACCATCATCATTATTATCATCATTATTAGCATCATCATTGTCATCATCATTATCATCCATCATAAACATCATCATCATCATCAGCTAGGAGCTTGCAGAGAGAGACTGACCATATGGGATAACTCGGGACAGTTAAGTCAATCAATCATTTGTAAAATTTACCAGGAAGGCTAACCCGGTCAACAAATGCCCGCTGAAGTCGAATGTGTTGGCCGAAGGGTGCAAATATCGCAGCCTTGCTGTAAACGGACACAACGCAATTACATCTTCGAATGAATGCAAAAGAAGAAGATTTGTAAAATTTAACTGTCCTTCTCTTTGTGAATCCACTTGTAGCGGAAGTTGAGTTGAGTCAACTGCGCTGGCTGCTGAAGATTAGAACGGAGCATGCAAGGGAATGCCCCGAGTGTTGTGATGTCAATTCCAAACTCAACTCAACTCAACTTAACTCAACTATCCACCATTGAAAATAAAAGAATAACTAAAAACTCTACATCTGAACTATAATCCGGATGGGTTGAATAAGACAGTATTGTTTAAATTGCAACTTCTACCGCTTACCTGAATTGCACATGATGCTTCACGAAGTTTCTCCGAACTAATACGGGTACAACAGTTTTGTTATTTATTTTGGCGTTTCGGACAAAAATGATTTCTTGGGTACCTTGGTCAGTACTCAGATGTTGGTATGTGAGCCCAAGAATCTCCGTGTGGTTGTCTTTACCTTTGATTTGAGCATATTCCGGTGATGCCTTAAGTTGTTCTATGTTGTTTGCGTGCATGATTCCTTGACCCTGTTGGGAAACAAATCTGAGTAAACATGATGGCTGGTTTATGGCCTACGCAGATATTCTTAATGCCCTTAGAGAGAGAGAGAGAGAGAGAGAGAGAGAGAGAGAGAGAGAGAGAGAGAGAGAGGAGGGGGTGGGGAGAGGGGGAGGGGAGAGAGAGAGGGGGGGGGGAGGGAGAGAGGGGGGGGGAGGGAGAGAGATAGAGAGAGAAACAAATGTACAGAGAGAGACAGGGAGAGAGAGAGAGAGAGAGAGAGAGAGAGAGAGAGAGAGAGAGAGAGAGAGAGAGAGAGAACAAACGAACTTTATTTCCAAAGGAACTAAAATTGGACACGTAGGCTTGTCTTACATTCGGCCCTTTCAAACATTCAACTTTCAAACATTCAACATTCAAACATTCAACTTTCAAACACTCAACTTTCAAACATTCAACTTTTAAACGGTAAATTGTATTTTACATGACAATGATATTACTTGTATGTTCAGATACCAGAATTTATAATATGAATGTAAAATAACAATTCGAAAGCGAGCGAGAGGGAGAGAGAGTGTGTGTAAACAGAGAGAATAGTCAGAAAGTAGACATAGAGAAACAGAGTAGACAAGAGAGAAAGAGAGTAGACAGAGAGAAGGAGAGTAGACAGAGAGAAAGAGAGTAGACAAGAGAGAAAGAGTAGATAAGAGAGAAAGAGAGTAGACAGAGAGAAAGAGAGTAGACAGAGAGAAAGAGAGTAGATAAGAGAGAAAGAGAGTAGACAGAGAGAAAGAGAGTAGACAGAGAGAAAGAGAGTAGACAAGAGTGAAAGAGAGTAGACAAGAGATAATGAGAGTAGACAAGAGAGAAAGAGAGTGGACAGAGAGAAAGAGAGTAGACAGAGAGAAAGAAAGTAGACAAGAGAGAAAGAGAGTAGACAAGAGAGAAAGAGAGTAGACAAGAGAGAAAGAGAGTAGACAAGAGAGAAAGAGAGTAGACAAGAGAGAAAGAGAGTAGACAGAGAGAAAGAGAGTAGATAAGAGAGAAAGAGAGTAGACAGAGAGAAAGAGAGTAGACAAGAGAGAAAGAGAGTAGACAGAGAGAAAGAGAGTGGACAGAGAGAAAGAGAGTGGACAGAGAGAAAGAATGTAGACAGAGAGAAAGAGAGTAGACAGAGAGAAAAAGAGTAGACAGAGAGAAAGAGAGTAGACAGAGAGAATGAGAGTAGATACAGAGAGTAGACAGAGAGAGCAGACAGAGAGACAGACAGAGAAACAGTCAGAATAGTCATGGAGTGAAGATAGACTGAGTAGACAGAGATAGCAGACAAAGAGAGAGAGAGTAGACAAGAGAGTAGACAGAAAGAGTAGAGAGAGGTGAGCACACATAGTAGACAAGAGAGAGTAGACACACAGAAAGTAGACAGAGAGAGAGTAGAGAGACAGAGTAGACACAGAGAGAGTAAACAGAGAGAGGGTAGATAGACAGAGTAGAGAAATAGTAGGCAGAGAGAATAGAGAGAGACTATAGAGAGAGTGTAGACAGAGAGTGTAGACAGACAGAGACTAGACAGAGAGCGTCGACAGACAGAGTATACAGTGAGAGAGTAGATATGGAGAGTAGACACAGAGAGAGTAGACAGAGAAAAAGAGAGTAGACAGAGAGAGAGGATAGAGAGAGTAAACACAAAGAGTAGACAGAGATTAGACAGAAAGAGAATAGACAGAGAGAGTTGACAGAGAGATTAGACAGAAAGAGTAGACAGAGAGAGAGAGAGAAAGAGAGAGAGTTGACGGAAAAAGAATAGACAGACGGACAATCCTACACTGGGAGTAGTAACTTTGAAACTGAAACAAGAACGACCATTCACGTGGAAAGTTACACTTACATCAACAACAGCTCCACGTTAATTTTTAGTACATCTCTGGTCATATTAGAGAGAGAGTCAACAGAATGCCGACATTTGAAATATTGATGCAACGTTTCTAAAAAGTACCCAAACATCGGGTTTGGTACCAGAATAAACAGTTTTGCTTGATAAGGATCAGATAGTACCATATTTGTCCGAAAGTACCAACTTGGCAGCCGGGTCTTGAACTAGCATCCTGAGAACATCAACAGAGGCTTCGTCTAAGTCAGCGGTTCCAAACCTTTAGGTCGCCACCCTTTTGTGGGTCGAGCGAGCCTTTCACAAGGGTCGCCTAAGACCATCATAAATACACATTGATCCAAGTTATGAAGAACCAACGAAAATAATAGTTTGCTTAGGGGTCGCCACAACGTGAGGAACTGTATTCGAGGGTCCTACAACAAGAGGAAGTATTAAATGGTCGCGGCATTAGGAAGATTGAGAACAACTTGTCTAAGTAGTTCACCATTGGTCCCATGTGGGCCGTGTATGCAGACTAAAAACATGTCCTGCAAGAATGTCTCTTGTACGGCAAATGAAGAAGGAAATACTGGCCCAGTGAGACAACACTGCACTCAAAGTTGTATGAAGCAAAAAGGGAACTCCTAAACCCTGTCAAGTTTATCACAAGAACTGGTCTGCCGATGTAAATCAGTGAGCGATCTCAAGAGGAAAACAAAGAAGCAACACAGAGTGTAGATTACCTTTACACTGGCATACACCAGTAGCGTGGATTTTCCAAAGAAGACGCTGTAGAGAGCTTTCTTTTTGACTGTATCCCATACATTGTAGAGATCATTGACGTTCTTTCCCTACACATTAGAAACATGAGGATTTTTCTCTCTCAGTGTTTGGCAGATGTATTTAATGATAATTTCACAACACAAACATTATGTATTTATCTGTTGAAAACACAAATAGATCTAAATATTTGAAAAACTCGAGACACTGAAGTTTTGGCACACACTGGGACTTTCCGGTGTATCTAGAACTTAGTCTCCACTTTGGCGATGATCCGTGGGCTTCTCAATATTCTCGAAAACGAGGTGACACACGTTTTTACTAATAACGCCGTCCTTGTTCTTGTCTGCCAACAGAAAGACGGCACGGGTGTTTGATCTATCCACTTTGCCATTGCCATCTGTGCCCAGAAATGTGTTGAGTGTTGGACGTCGAGATAACCTGGCAACTCCTCGCAGCGCCATTCTCCTTAGACCGTAATGAACAATCTGTGCCTCCGCACTTTCACTCGCTCCCAAAACGCCCTCACAATATGTAGCTTGTCATACATCACTTCACCACCAAGTGGTACAGAACCGACCGGTTTATCTGCCTGCTCAATTCCCAACACACCCGCATCACCTGGAGAAAATATCCAAAGGACGCTAACTACCCGGGCCTCTGAATTGTTGTTTGCCACGCGGCACGGAGCCTGCCTGTCTCCACCTTTCTCAACATACTCTGTGAGTCGGGCAGTGCGCCTGTTTCCATTCACACCCCTCCCCCCCCCCCCCCCCACCTCCTTTTTTCCCCACGGAAATTAGGCAAAAGGGAGAGTGGGTTAGTTAGGAGTCCTGCATAAGGAAACGGGTCATTCCACAATGGTTCCACTCTTTCGTCAGCGAAAACTACACACAATACTTTCCAATCCCACGTGATCCTAAAAACAGACATCAGCTTTGGCAAAACATACCAGGACAGACAGACACAGATAGACATATTCGATCAGACGGACGGACGGATCGACAGACAAACAGACAGCAGACAGACAGAGAGACGGATAGAACGAATTTTATTTTTAAACGGTCACAAATTAAAGTTCCTTTTCTCGTTCTATCCGTCCTTCCATCAGACAGACAGACAGGCAGGCAGGCAGACAGACAGACAGACAGACAGACAGACAGACAGACAGACAGACAGACAGACAGACAGACAGGCAGGCAGGCAGGCAGGCAGGCAGGCAGGCAGACAGACAGACAGACAGACAGACAGACAGACAGACAGACAGACAGACAGACAGACAGACAGACAGACAGGCAGGCAGGCAGACAGGCAGGCAGGCAGACAGACAGACAGACAGACAGACAGACAGACAGCCAGACAGACAGACAGACAGACAGACAGACAGACAGACAGACAGACAGACAGACAGACAGACAGACAGACAGACAGACAGGCAGGCAGGCAGACAGACAGACAGACAGACAGACAGACAGACAGACAGACAGACAGACAGACAGACAGACAGACAGACAGACAGACAGACAGACAGACAGACAGACAGACAGACAGACAGACAGACAGACAGAGATTTAATTCAAACCTTTTGAAAGAAGCTGCTGCCATTACTCTCTGGGCCAGTATCTGTTTGTGATGAAAACAACTTAATTAGTTAGGTGTACGTTTGATAAGTTTTGGCACATCCTCATCCTTGTGATCCAGCACAGTCATCATCATCCATCATCAATATCATCGCCCATATTATCTTCATCATCATCATTACCCATCATTATCATCTAACATCATTATCATCCTTCATCATAATCATCATCATTTATCCTTATCATCTATCAGCATTATGATTATAATCCATCGTCATCCAACATTATAATCCAACATCATCATCCATCATCATAATCATCATCATAAACATCATCATCATACTTATCATTATCCATCATCATTATCATCATCATCCATCATCATCCATCATCATCCAATTTCATCCTCATCCATCATCATTATCATCATCGTCCTTCATCATTATCATCTTCCATTTTTATCATCATCCATCATCTTTATCATCATCATCATGTGCATACATTATCACCCTCCTTCATCATCATCATCCATCATCATTATCAGCATCCAACATCATTATTATGATCCATCATAGTAAGGAGTTTGCTCAAATATGATCTAATGGGCTGAGAAGATGCAGATATCGCAGCCTAGGTGTTAACCACAAAACGGTGTACCAACTATCCTTATAAGGACGAACGCAGACAAAAACAAGACACATGATATAATGTCACCCCATCAGTTTGAGATTCTGAAAACATTTCCAAGTATCCACTTTAGACTCCAAAACAAAAAGTAGCAAACTCTCATCTGGATGTCCATTTTAAATCTTAAGCATCGGACCCAATAGCTAGTGTTCTATCCACTACACCAGTGCCGTTTCCTAATTCTTATAGCAATCAGGAAGAATACAAAATACAAATGGTTTAAGACCAACGTTTCAACGTTATTTCAGTTTTAACATATGCCAGTGAAAGTTCTAAAACCAACGAAGATATGCAACGAAAGTTAAATACATTAGAAAATAAATGTTTGAGAAAAATATGGACATGATTTGTCATGCATTTATAAAAGACTGAGAGAATCAAAGAATTGGCTGGACAAATACCTGCAGCGATTGCAATAAGGCGAATTAGGTGGAAATATACTAGGCACACCCTGAGACGAAATAAGCAAAAATTAAAAAAATAATAAAAAAAACAGGCACTGTAATGGGAAATAAACGGTCTGAGATTTAAAAAAAAAAAAGGACGTCCAAGGAAAAGAATAGGAAGAACATTACTACCAGAGGCAAGACAAATGCTGGGCTCAACTCCATGTCAGAAATCGAGAAAGTTGCATGCGATAGAGCCAAGTGAAGAAATTGAATGCAAACCATATGTGACGTCTAACGGCACGCAACAGATAATGATGATGATGAATAAGAACGAATAAATGCACAATGTATTTGTAACACCTACCTGAGAACGGATGTGCTGTGTGTACCGAGTTTCTTGACATAAAATTGCTCTTCGTATCTGGTAACATGTCCCAGGTCTTGTTTGTTAGGGAGTACATAGCAGCCATTTCTGCAATTAACCTTGCCTCTTTGGCTTTAATGTTCTGTTTGAGTTTAGAAAATACAAATTGTTTTAGATGAAAATTACAAATTATCATTACTCCACGATTGTACCGCCTTTTAAGGTAGTGTTTGACTAGGATGCTTTGAGTGTGATGGTTTTGGACCACATACCTAGTGCAATCAATGCGGATTGTGCAGATTATAGTTTTATTTTTCCCGCCTAAAGGAATTTTAAAAAAGAAATTGCTTAGTGAAGATTCGAACTTTTTTCTCACAAACGACGTCAAAGCCAGCAACTTTTCCATTGGTTTAAAAGGTAGGCCACCTTAAAAATTGTATCAAGAAAAATGATTACCTATGTACTGTTACAATAATATTACGTAGCTTTCGATGAAATTCTGACAAACTTTCTTAAGTTCAAATGAATAAGCGAGTGTTCACGTGCCGAGAATGATTGCTGAAATTGTAAACTGTGTTTATAAAGTAAGTATTTGCACGTATGTCGGCTCTGTGGCTAAGTCGATGCAAACGCTTCGTAATGCCGGGATGCCGGGTTCGATCCCAACTGCGGGCATTCGCCTTGAGTTGGTTTCGACAGTGGTATCAAGAAAGCTGACCGTCCAAAAAGCAATGGCAAACCACTGGACGTAAATTTGCCTAGAAAAAACAATGGCTGCTGGGGTTGGTTCTGCAACGTCCTGTAAAGGATACGCAACTAACCTTGAATTTGCACGTTTGTACACGTGTGGCGTCCTACAATGTTCAGAGAGTTTAAACTTTGAGGCTTGCTTTAATACACCTCGATATGGGCGACATTTGTAGCTGTGGTGATGTCTAGACAGTACTCGATCACCTGCCTGGTCTTCTTCATCGTGTCCATAGTCGCAGTTGCTGCAGTGACCCTCTCTTTCAGGTATTGGATGTTCCTTATCTTCTCAGTGCCCTTTCAAGCCCCACAGTCACACAAGTTCACACTACACTTTAAACTTGTCTGAAGATTTACAGACGCTACAAGTGTACAACCGTTGAACACCATACTCTTTTTGAAATAACAGTTAAAAATTCCGACAGTCATTTTCGATTAAATAACAGCTTAAAAGCCTGGCAATCATTCTCGATGAAATAGTTTTAAAAAACCGGCAATCTTTCTCTATGAAAAAACAGTTAAACATTCCGGCAATCATGCTTAATGAAATAACAGTGGTCCGGCTCTCTAGCGTAGTTGGCTAAATCGGATTGCGCGGTGACCGGGTGACGAACTCCTTGTGGTCCGGGTTCAATCCCGGGAGTAGGCAGGAAAGCCACATTTCTCCCAGATTTACGGTATTTACAATGGAATCAAGGCCGAAAGGTTGCGATATCCATAATACCGAGCCGAGCTTCTGGATACTAAAACAAACAAACAAACAATGAAATAACAGTTAAACATCTGCGCAATTATTCTTGATGAAAAAACAGTTTAAAACCCCAGCAATCATTCTCGTTGGCCCTGTAATGATGAACCACTTATTTTAGTTGTAGATGATCAGCAAGAGAGGTTTTACATAAGCCACTTTGCAATGGACTTGGTGGCTGTGATCCAAGCGTCCAGATGAAAGGAGGAGGATAGGGAGGCGACGAGGGGATTCGGCAAGAGGCTTTTTGCAGGTGACGGTCTGAAAGTAGAGTTCTGTAGGTGACAGTCTGAAAGTAGTTTTGCAGGTGACTGTCTGAAAGTAGAGTTCTGCAGGTGACTGTCTGAAAGTAGAGTTCTGTAGGTGACTGTCTGAAAGTAGAGTTCTGTAGGTGACAGTTTGAAAGTAGAGTTCTGTAGGTGACTGTCTGAAAGTAGAGTTCTATAGGT